TCCAGCTTAGCAGGGCTTGAACTCCAACATCTATTTTGCTAGTACTATGGAGCTACTGAAAACTCGGCTCAGCTTTTTAGCCTTTGATTTGCTCTTGCCTGCTGGGTTTCCTGGAGTCTGTCCCTACAAATGTGCAGTTTAGTCATCAGCCAATCATTGCAGTATAATTTCAATGGACAATTTTTGAGTCATTTCTCTTTAGTACCCTCCTAAGATTTTGCTGCTTAGGTTCCAGATTCTGACCTACTCAACCAGTGGGACTGCTACTTTCTGCTTGGGCTCTACTACCCTTTACACAGAATTAGAAATGCCCTGAGAGAAAATGCTGTGTGAATGAATATGGAGCTCACTTCATATGCTTTCTTTCTCAAGGATAGTAGCCTCTTTAGTCCTCCCTGTGTTAGCTGCTCTCCAATGCCTTCAAGCAGTCATTTTAATGTTTTGTCCATGTTGCATTATTGTTTTCAATGGAAGGATTCATTCTGTATGTTCTATCAAGACCAGAATACTCATATTTGTGAAGTCTTTCCTGATTTTCTTCCTCTTGAGAATTATTATCCTGATAAGTAGAATCTTTTCCTGTTGTCATACACCTGGCACATACCTTTACCATTCCCCTTATTAAATAACATTTGTATGGAAAAAAAAGTCTCTCCAAAAGTGTGAAGTGTTTTAGAATAAATATGAGATCTTAATAAATTTTTTACACCATTTTCACCTCTATTGTCCTATTCATTTCATTCCCTTTTCTGAAAAATTCCTTTTTAAGACCTAACTATAGTCTCTCTCCCCATGTCCTCAAACATTTTCTTGAATCTACTCCCACCATACTACTAAAACTTCCATTATTGTGGTCTTTGACAATTTCCATGTTACCAAATGCAATGGTAAATTCTCAGTCCATCTTTCCTGACATATTAGCAGCATTTGGCACAACTAATAATTCTCTTAAGGATCCCACACACACACCTAGTTTCCCCCTATTTTCCTGGTGGCTGCTCTTCCATCTCATCAATTCATAAATATTGTAGGACCTCAGGCCTCATTCCTCAGACCTCTTTTCTATCTACATTCTTTCCCTTGATATCTTGACTCACAGCTTTAGATGCCATCCATGTGTTCATGGCATTCTGATTTACATTTTCAACCTGGACCCCTTCCTTGAGCTCCATATTCAGATACCCACCTGCCTACTTGACATCTCAAATTAACATGTTCAAACAGAGATCTATTTTCACAAACTTGCTGTTTGCACTGTTCAACTCTGTCCTTCAAGTTATGCTCAGGGAAAAAAACTTTCCAGTTATTTTATTTCCCACAGTTTCTGATCTCTAAGCTAATCCTGTCACTTCCACATTCATATTTTATCCAGAATCTGACAATTTCTTGTTACTTCTATTGCTATCACTCTCATCCAAGCCATCCTCACCTGTCTGCATTACTGCAATAACCTCCATCCTTGCTCTTGTTCCTTTGCAGTCTATTTTCAACTGAGCAGCCAGAGCAATCCTATTATAGAGTATGCTTCTTCTCTGCACAAAACCCTCCAATGACTCGACTCATTCAGAATAAAAAGCAATCTTCTTAAAATCACCCATAAGCCCTAGCTGGTTTGGTTCAGTGGCTAGAGTGTCAGCTTGCAGACTGAAGGGTCTCAGGTTCGATTCGGGTCAAGGGCACATGCCCAGGTTGCGGGCTTGATCCCCAATAGGGGACATGCAGGAGGCAGCCAATCAAAGATTCTCCTCATCATTTATGTTTCTCTTTCCTCTCCCTTCCTCTCTGAA